GGTCTCTTACGTGGGTGTGAGGGACTAAGCCTTTAGGCCATCTTCCATTGCTTTCCCAGGACCTAAGCAGGGATTTGGATGGGAAATGAAGCAGCTGGGACAGAAACTGGTGTCCATATAGTACTCAGGTACTTGCAAGTAGGTGATAAGCCACTTAAGTTATAGCGCTGGTCCCTGAAGAATGTTTTCCATTCATGTTGTGTTTTATCAGTTGTCTTTCTTGGATTTATTTATCCAGCTCCCTCCCCACCTTCCCCAAAGCTTTTTTTTTTTTTTTTTTCCAAATCACATGGGCAGTAGGCTAATTCAGAATTCAGGTTATATTTGATCCTCAATTCCATGTTTTAAGGCTAGTCCTGGAGCCCACCAGGCCCATCTTTGCCCTGGTGCACGTGCTTGCCAGTGTGTAAAGCAGACTGGTCCCGTCTGTCCCACATTCCATTCAGCTCTCATCCATGTTGATGTCAAGTTCATCCCACTCAGCCCAGTTCGTCCCAACCAGCCCCACTATCCAATACACAATGGTGCCAATGGGTGCTTCCATCTGTCTAAGCCATGCTTTCACCTGACAGAATTTGGCCCCCATGCCAGTATCTGCCAACTGATGCTGCAGCAAAGCCCAATCAATCCACACCAACACTTGCTTATGCATGTGCCAGAAGGTACAGTCAGCCTAGCCTGGCTTTTTCCCGATCCAGCTCACATGTAGGCCATTGGATCTGTCCCAGCCTGGTCTGCCCCCATCCCAGCTGTCATGCTCACCATTGGGAATGGTGGCCTAGCAGGGGGGACCCTCCCAGCTTCCTCACTGGGGCCATCCCCACCCCACCCCCGGGTTTTACATGTGCTGGTTGGGTGCTACAGCCGAGTCTGGCACAGCCCAACTCACCTCAGCGTCTGCCATTGGGTGCTGTAGCCTGGCCAAGCCAGGCCCACCCCCAATTCCAACTCACTCTGGTGGGGGCTATAGCCTAGCCCAGCCCTGCCAGCCCTCTGACCCTGCCCTCATGTGGACTGGCTGGTATTGCGCCCTGACCTGGCCTGACACACACTCTAATCCGGCACTTGGATTCACCAGTTGGTGATATGGACTGACCCAGCCTCTCCTGTTTCTGACCTGTACCAAATGTATGCCAGTGGGTACTGTATTTTGGCCCGATTGGGCTGCTCCCCATCTTGGTTCTTGCACTCACCTGCAGGGAGTGTGTCCTGTCATAGGAGAGGCCCAGGCTCCTCCATCAGAACCTCTCCCAATGCCAGATCTTGCACACACCAGTGGGTCCATGGGCCAGCCCTACTCAGTCTACCTCCTGTCCTAGCAGGAACAGTGGCCTTTCCTCACTGGCCCTCACCCATTCTGGTTCTTGTTGTTGGGTGCTATAGCCCAGCCAAGCCTGATCCATACCCAGACACAGCTCACACCTGGGTTAGCGGGGCAGAGACCTGGCCTAGCCCATCCTATATCTACCCTGGTTCTCACGAGCACCAGTGGGTGCTGGATTCTAGCCCAACGTGGAACATCCTATACCCATCCCACACACATGCAGAGGGATTCTGTGGCTATATCCAGACCAGACCGCAGCCCCTACCCTGGCCCTCGTGCTCTCCAGTGAGGATCACAACCTATCCAGGGTGTTCCCTTTGCTTCCCAGCCAGGCCTGCTCCCCTCCACAGACCTCAGGCATGCTAGTGGTTGCTCTGACCTAGCCTGGCATAGCCCCCATCTGTCTTAGCCCTTGCCTTTGGATGCTGTAGCCCGTCCTGACCTAGCCAGCCTCCAGTACTAAGTCTCACTGGCAGGTGCTACAACCTGGCCCTGCTCAGTCTGCTCTCATCCCCAGCTCATGTGAACCAGTAGGTGTGATACCCTAGCCCATCATGACCTGCACTCTGACCTGGTTTCTGCACTTGCCAGTGGGCTAAGATTTGCGTGACCCTGCCTGGTTAGCCCACTTCCAAAACCAACCCACACACTTGCCAACGGGTGGGACTACCTTGCCCAGCTTGCCTGACCCCTAGGTCTGGAGCACGTGCTCACCAGTAGGAGCTACAGATTCAAAGGGCAGTTTCCCAGGTTCCCCGAGTCGGCCCACTCCCAGACCCAGATCTCACATGCTCCAGCAGGTGCTAGGCCCTTTCCCAGCACATTATGCCCCTTTGTCTTGGCCTTTGTATGAGCTGGTAGATGTTGCATGCCGGCCTGTATTACACCGTTTTAGGATGCACAAGCAGGAGCTGCACCTTGGACCTGCCCACCGTTCTCAGCCCCAGTACCTGTGGGTGTTACTGGGTTCCATGTTCACTCCTACTTAAGCCAGTCACCACCCCAAATCTTGAGGTAACCAGCAGGACTTATATTTCCATAGAGTTGCAGCCACTTATCCCCTCGAGTCTACCCCCAAGACTTCATTCTCACGTGTGTTGGCTAGTGTCATAGCCCTGCCTCATGCGACCTGCTCCCTGTTCAGACAGTCAGGTACTTGGAGCTAGCTCTGCTAGACAGGCCCCCAGCCATAGCTTTCGTGTGGTCTGGCGTGTGGTGGTCAGTGATGCTCTGTGCTAACAAGCCCATCTCAGGACTCCCATTTGGGCTGGTGAATCAGTCTGACCCATACAGATCTTCCAATCTCTCCCCTCCATACCACCAAGTCTCAGTTCCCTCACATAACATCCAGTATGGTGGCCCTATTTTTAGGTGGCCCTCAGGACTAATTCCTTACTTGCACATATGGTGTCCGTATCCATGGATGTCCCTAGGCAATATCTCGTCACCCCCAAGTCCCCAGAGTTCATTGGTGGGCAGCCAGAAGGCAAAGCCCGGCACCCGATAGGAGCACTGGCTGCCTGTGGAATAAAGATGGTGCCGGCTGCTTCCTCCACTCATCAGCCAAGATTGGACAATGAAGCCGAATTCTGCTTCACATGCCAGACCCGCCAGTTTACAGTGGTTTTAAGAACTGGTAAATATGGGGCCCGGCGCAATGGTGCAAGTGGTTAAGGTCCTCGCTTTGCACGCCTGGGATCCCATATGGGTGCCAGTTCTATCCCAGCAACCCCACTTCCCTTCCAGCTCCCTGACTGTGGCCCGGGAAAGCAGTTGAGGACGGCCTAAAGCTTTGGGACCCTGCACCCGCGTGGGAGACCCAGAAGAGTCTCCTGGCTTCGGATTGGCATAGCATCAGCCGTTGTGCTCACTTGGGGAGTGAATCATCGGAAGGAAGATCTTCCTCTCTGTCTCTCCTCTCTATATCCGCCTTTCCAATAAAAAAATAATAAAAATAAATCTTTTTTAAAAAAAAGAACTGGTAAATATGGGAAAATACAGAAATGTTAGGAATTGTGGCATAGACAGTAATGACTTTGGAGCACAGGAGTGAAACCTGCGAATATTACTTGCAACCCAGAAGAGATACCATTAACTGTTTTGGTAAACAAAAGGCTGTCAGATAAAATTATTCACCAGATTTATTCAGGGTTTTACTGAAGCTTTATTTTCTCTAAAATCTTTATTTTTAAAAGGAAAATGATGATCCAGAGGAATGCTGAGCAAGAGCAGACTGAGACAGATAAGGTTGCCTGTGGTTCTCTTTCTAGAAATCAATTTCGCACTGTTGTTTTTGATTTAGAATGGACATAAAGAAAAACCCCTATTCATTCAGAATTCAAAAACAAGCAAGAGTATTGACTCAAGTGCAGTTATAAGACATAAGACTATTTCAATAAGGTGTGCAAATAGTTTTTGAAAATCACTGTCATAATGGGAAAAGGGATTGCAATTCAAGTTGAACTGAATTAGGTATGCCATTATCAAGAGTCTAAGAATTCTTCTGAAAAAATTTAGTAGAAGCGAATATATTCTAAACCATTATAGTTAAGATAAATTTGATCCTAATTAACTGATCACACAGCATAACAAAGTATATACAAAAATATTGCCTCTTTAGGTCCACTCTCTAAAATTCTATGAAAAATAGAATTGGAGGTTTGATGAATACATTCCAAGATGAAATAACTACCATAATATGACTGTGGACTGACATATTCAACTACAAAGGAGAACTTGAAAAGACTTTCTTATACTGAAACTTCTGGCAATGTATATGAAAATAGAAATTAAGCATACTTAAACACAAATCAGACAATTACAAAGCAACAGGTTAGTCCAACTTTCATTGTGTAAACTACTTTGTCATTTCCTATGATCAAACAATATTACATGTTATGTTGGGTATGTTAACCTTCTATGCAAAATACAAGATCAGTGCCCTTTCAGTACTGCTTTTGCTACATCTTAGGGGGTTTCAAATGATTTTTTTAAAATTAATTTCCTGACTCATAGATCATACAGTAGCATCATTTGTTTCAAGTTGGTTTTTTTTTCATTTTTAAAAATTTCTTCAGTGACACATTGGTCATTCAGTAGCATGTTATTTAATTTCATTTTGTTGTTAATTCTTTTTTCTTCCTGTCTTTAATTTTATTTTGTGGTTTTTAAGGGGATTTATAGTAACTGTGTAATAGACCATCATATCCAGATGTGAAAATACAATGCAGTATGCATCTCTTACTTCTAAATCAAGGATGGACTCCCAATAAAACTGTTAAATATTATCTTTACAACAGGTCGCTGGACTCTCTGCCATTGTCCATACTTACAGTGTCAGTATCCACTTGACCTGCAGAATGATGGACTTCTTACTGTTTATGAGGGACTATGCTATTGTAATGATTTAGGGGAAATCATTGGGGAGAGGGAGGTGGGATTTGGAGAGAGGGGAAGGGAAATCCCATAAAATAATATCATAAAATAATACAAAAATTTAATATTAAAAAAGGAAAGAAAACTTTAATAATCATTTTGGGAATGAAAATTTTAACCCGTATTTTTTATTTTAAGCTCTTAACATTATAAATATCCAAACAGTATTACAATTTCAGAAGTACTTACCATTCTTAGTTTACTTTCAATGATAGAAATGAACTCAATGTTCACACAGAGATAAATAGTTCCATTCACAATTTATTGAATTGCAAAACCAGATTGATGTGGTGTTAATGGTGATCAGAGAAAAAAAGCCTCTGAAAAAATATACTGATTTCTTAGATGTCAAGGCATATACCCACACTGCTGGAATGTTCAACTTACTGTAAGAGTATGAAGTATGTGTCAAAGTTCCAACAATAAAAATATTTTTAGAAGGCTATTATAATTTTTAATAAATATAATTGATAATTTCAAAATAAATAGAACCTGAGTTGTAACCACCTCCTGCCCTTTCGCCATCCCTATCATATATACATTATCTGATTTCCACTTAAGCCAGAGTGTCTCCAACTTAAATGAACATGCATATATAACCCTTGGGGATCTCACTAAAAATGCAGCTTCTGATTCAGGAAGAATGTTGTGGGGCCTGAGCATCTCCATGGCTAACAAGTAACTTATGAAGTGGATGCTGCTGGCCCTGGATCACCTTTTGAACAGCAAAGTGTTCCAATATACAGTGAGGACAATTTCTCATTTAATGACTGCATGGTTTGATAGATTTACTGTGGTAGTATTTCTGAATCAAACAAGAAACAATTCCTGTCCCCAAAATGACCATTAAGAAAGCATACCTTGAGAGAAAGTAATATTTAAGCGAAAGCTTAAAGTACACCAAGTTGGCAGTGTTTGTTTGCCTAACAGTAACATCTTTGATGCATTAATATATAAATCAGAACACCAAGTTATGGTAACTTTGAAAAATGAATTTACTGTATAGCTTGAGGCTTTAGTTAATTCAAGTCCAGACAATTCAAGCCAGTACACTGCAAAACCATTATTAAAATTCTTTAATGGTAAACTGTCCATTTACTTATAAACTTGCTTTAAGAGATCCCATCTCCTCCTCCTTGTTCAACAAATAAATGCTGCTTTTTCTTCTGTCTTGTAGCTAAACAGCGTGTAACACCAAGTGCCCCTCCCTTTAGAAATCGAACAAAATTGTCTCCAACTAAGGGGCCCAGTGCAAAAAGGTTGGCTTCTTTAACACACTCATAGGTATATGCGTCTATTTCCACAGGATTCCCCTTACAGGTGATTGGCTGGCTTGAGTTATGGCCTAGGTAGCATCCTTGCTCCTTTAGAAAGGATAGATTAGGATGAGAACCTATCAACACTACTGCTGCAGACAGCTTAAATATTTTCTTCAATCCAGAGATGCTCTGAAGAATGCATTTCATGTCCGACTTAAAGGAAAGCACATGGTGCTCAGGAAAACTGGTATAATCAGATAAAAGATTGGAGTCTACAGAATATGACTGAGTACACATCAAATGATAGACTTTATGGTATTCAGGATAGAGTTTTTGGGGGAGCTGTTTGAAAATTAAGCTTGGATCAGTTACTCGTCTACGGAATACATGAATCACAGGGATATTATTGTTGTAAGCACACAGCACTGCATCAGCCGCAGTAAGCCCAGAACCTACAATTAACACTGGATCCACTTTGCCACGCAACTTTCCTTTGTTTATGGCGGCTCCAAATTCAGGCATTGAATGAAACACAAAAGGAAAATCTTCCCCTTCAATTTCCAGGTGGGCAGGCGAGTCTAGCGTCCCAGTTGCGAGAGCCACGTTCTCAGCAAAGAGGCAGAAGGGGACATGAGAACCGTCTGCTATCCGCTGATAACCCCTGATCTCCCAGTTTCTTTTGATGAATTTTGACTTTTCTATCTGTAAATGCTTTGTTGAAACATCTCCATCTTGACCATCACTATCATCTTGATCTCTGTAGAGTCTTGATACGGAGGTTATGTAAGTATTCTCTCGGAAATTCTTCTGAAGGCCCATGACCTTTACATAATGTTTATAGTAACGAGCTATTTCCTCAGGCATAACTCGATCTCCTTTTAGGTTCCTGTAAAAGAAATATTCTTTGAGGACAGTACTTTTAGCTCCCATGATTATTACATTATTATTGCATATTCTCCCTGTAGTAAGCTTTTATACATTTTACAAAAAGATTCATTTATTTTATTGGAAAAGCAGATATACAGAGAGGAGGAGAGACAGAACGGAAGATGTTTCGTCCCATGATTCACTCCCAGAGTGGGCCGCAAAGGCTGGAGCTGAGCCGATCTCAAGTCAGGAGCCAGGAGCTCTTCTGGGTCTCCCAGGCAGGTGCAGGGTCCCAAGGCTGTGGGCCATCCTCAACTGCCATCCCAGGCCACAGAGAGCTGGATGGGAAGCAGGGAGCCAGGATTAGAACCAGCGCCCATATGGGATCTCGGTGCGTTCAAGCTGAGGACCTTTACCACTACGCTATCGCGGCAGGCCCGCTTTTATAAATTTTTAACTTGCCCATTTCTAAATTGTCCTAACGCTTTAGAGAGGAGGCCTGGTTTTCTTTTTTAAACAATGTTAATGAGTTAGCTTTATCAGCAGGAGTCCTCTGAGGACAGATGGTGTTTAATGTGTGCTTGTGACTACAGTGACATTCAGTGCCTGCTCCAAAACCTGTTGTTAAATAAATGTATTAAAAAGTGGTAAAAACCAGTTTATGTTTCATGATTGTACTCCACTGAACAACTGTTGAGTTATTACAGGTCTAATCTATGAGAACATGAGTTTTACTGAGTAGCTCTCTATTTCCTAATGACTAAAAGAATGTTCTGTCTTCTACTAATCAAAATTATAATATGCCTAATATATTTAAATATTTTGCTCTTTTTTTTTTTTTTTTTGGACAGGCAGTGTTACAGAGAACAAAATCTTCCATCTGCAGGTTCACTCTCCAAGTGGCTGCACTAGCCAAGAGCTGGGTTAGTCCAACGTCAGAAGCCTGAACTCCATCTGAGTCTCCCCTGTGGGCGGCAGAAGCCAAGCATGTAGACCGTTTTATGCTGCTCTCCCAAGGCGAGTTGGCAGGGAGCAGATTTAGAAGTGAAACCACCAAGACTCAAACCTGCTGCACATTAGGATGTTGGTGTCACAGGCGGTGACTTAATTCACTACGCCACAGTGTTGTCCTTTCACGTGTTTTCCTACTCACACAGAGCTAAAAACATAACCTACTCTTTCTGGAAAAAGCAGTTTAATGCAGCTTTCATTTTAATTTAAGACAATACTGTCTTTAAACCTCTTTGTCCAGGGCCCTACAAAGTGGCCTAGTGGCTGAAGTCCTTGCCTTGCATCTTCCAGGAAATCATACAGGCGCTATTTGTGTCCTGGCTGCTCCTTGGAACCCTGCATCCACATGAGAAGCTCCTGGCTGCTGGCTTCGGATTGGCTCAGCTCTGGCCATTGTGGTCACTTGGGGGGTGAACCAGTGGATACAATATCTTTCTCTCTGAGAATTTGATTTTCCAATAAAAATAAACAAATCTTTAAAACAAACAAAACCAAACCATTTGGCATAATTGATTATAACTTGAAACTGGAAGTTCACAGAATTTTCTCTTTTGAATCTACTGGTTGTATTAAGACATAAATGCTGGGGTCAGCATTGTGGGAGAGCACTGATTAGTGTCACTGCTGTGATAATTTCCACTTAGCTAGCTCGCTGCTACTGGTTGGGGAAAGCAGCACTAGATGGGGGAGACCTAGCTGAAGCTCCTGGTTTCAGCCTGGTTCAGCCCTGGCCACTCTGGCTACAAAGGGCGTGAACCAGTGGATGGAACAGCTCTGTCTCTCCCTCTGGATTTCAAATAAACAAGTAAATCTAAAAGATGTAGAATGTCTATTGTGATTTTTACAGGAAGTCCATGGAATAGTTACTAGTATTATTTCCATAATACACACCAGGAAATTAACTGCTTAAGTTGTTTGTCTAGGGTTTCAATATTAGGATTGAGTTCTAACTATACTTCCTAAGATTTTTTTTTTACATGTTATTTAAAACAATATGTGTAATTAAAAAAATAAATGTTTCTGGCATAAAAATAAAACTTTCCATTTTTCACCAAGAATGTGTTATACAATTTCAATTGCTTACTTATGAGAAACAAAAACGTGTACAGACTGCCTGATTTTTGCAATTTTAGGTTTTAACTGTACTTCCTTTTTTAAATAAAACAAATTTTTGACAGTCTCAGTCCTAGTTACCAATGATGACCTAGATTTTTTCTCCTTAAATCTCTTCAAATTAAGGAAAATTTTCATGAGTTAGCAAGGTTTTGGCTAGCAGGAAATCGAGTAATTATATCTCTGTTTTGTTTTCTTTTTAAAGATTTATTTTTTATTGGAAAGTCAGACATGCAGAGAGGAAGAGAAACAGAAAAGAAGACCTTCCATCTACTCATTCACTCCCCAAGTGGGCACAATGGCAAGAGCTGCACCAATCTGAAGCCAGGAGCCCCACCTGGGCATCCTACGTGGTGCAGGGTACTAAGGCTTTGAGCTGTCCTTGATTGCTTTTCCCAGGCAACAGGGAGGAAGCTGGATGGGACGTGGGGCCACTGGGATTAGAACCGGCACTCATATAGGATCCTGGAGCCTACAAGACAAGAACCTTAGGTGCTAGGCTACTGTGCTGGGCCCTATATCTCTGTTCTAACACGTTATGTAAGTTCCTGTTCTAACTTGTTTCTATTAATACTCAAATTACAGCGCAATCTCTGAACTAGTAACTCTTACCCAAATGCATTTACTTTGCTTAAAATTACAGACCTCCTAATATTGCTTTTTAAATTGTGGGGTTTCTCCCCACCCTCCAAAAAAAAAAGTAAAAAACTCACAAGGTTTAACATTAAATATTTACTTACAATAAAAATCATGTACCATAGTATACTGCACTTTAACTTCTACCCTGAGAGCCAAATGCTACGATAGGCACATGAGGTTTGCATACATGAAGTTACATGTACACTCGTGAACATGCACAAAATGCTGTGTGCACCAGAGAGTGAGCAATGAGAAGTCACAGGAAACCACTCAGTGGTTGGTTTTATAGCATCTCTAAAGAGGAAACTAGATTGTAATTGTTTCAAGGAATCATTTTTATTTGAAAGATATCCATACAACTTCACAAATATTTTGATATTTTCCCGCCATTTCTTTTTCACTACATACCAGAGAATGTCAATGTGGGGCAAGCATCTGGCAGAGCAGTTTTGATGTCGCACGTCGTTTATCAGAATGCCTGGGTTCAAGTCTCGCTGTACTTCTGATTCCAGCCTCCTGCTGACAGGCTCCCAGGGAGACAGCAGGGGATGATGGCTCCAGCTAATGGCCATGCTACACTCTGGGTACACCAAGACTGAGCTCCAGTCTCCTGGCTTCTGCTTGGCCCACTCAAAGATGTTGTAAGCATCAGAGAAGTAAGCCAGTAATGGGAAAGCCTCTCTGTCTCTCCTCTTTGCCCTTCAAATAAATAAAAACAATAAATGTTTTAAAAATGAACAAGAAGAGTTTCAGTTTCTTACCTTCGTTTGCTGGACACCCAATCCTTAAATTTAAGTCCAGGCAGCTCCATCCAATTTCCGAAGCTGATTGTCAACATGGAGCCTTCCATATTCTATTGAAAGTTCAAACAACACAATTTAGTTGTGACACTAATTTTTTTTTTAAGAGCCAAATCTACCTAATGTACAACTATTCGAGCTATAAATACAAATGATTGTATAAATAACCTCCAAAGCTTTATTCCAATAAGCTTTTTTATACCTCAGCCTTTGGTACTATCCATTGTTATGTCTTGTTTCATATAATTATGTATTTATCGTATGAATTTACAGTATCACCATGCCTATACAATATTCATACATTTGGCCCATGATCAACATGAGGCAGACTGCATGTTAAGGGAACAAATCAGTATTTTCATTTTTTAAAATAAATGTTCACTAATTACCAAAGCTCTAGATGTCTTTTCATTTTGAATATCAGTTAACAGATTTTCAAAAACTAGCAACAAAAATCGCCCTCCCCTCCCCTTCCCCCATCAGTATGCTTTTGCAACGCAGGCTGCTTGGCTACGGCAGCATCTCTTCAGAAGGGAGAATTACAAATGGTTGCCTGAGAAACCACCTCAGTGAAGCTAATGCTGCCGTCTGGGAAGAGAGCTCTGCAAGCCCCCTCAACCTGCCTGCTTCTGCTCTGCTCAACTCCAAACAAGAAAACAGCAAGGGCCAAAGGCTCCTAGCCCAAAGACCTCAATCATCTCTTTCAACCAATTCTTTAGACTGTTCTTACATAGCTCAGTATTGCCAATGAAGAATATTATTGTAATAATTGTAACAGAGCACTTGATATATGCTAGGCCCCGTCAGGCATCATATGCGATGGCACATAGAGCACCAGGCAAAGAATTTGGGTTTTGAGTGTAGCCTAACAACGGGATTATGTTGGCTACCAGTTTTTGCACAAGGAGGCAGAGGTCTGACAGGCCCAAGCCAGTCACATGAGCACTGCTGGCCTGGACATGATTGATGCCATGGACACCCAGTATGTATGAGCTCTTAGGGGTGGCAACTCTTCAAATGTTTTGTCAAACTGCTGTTGGGAGATCTAAGCATAGCCACATCTGACTCCACTAGGAGCACACACCGGAAGCATACACTGTATTTCCCCCTGACTTTGTCCCATGAACCCCTTCTTTTGCTGATACTAATCTGCATCCTTTTACAGCAATAAACTATAACTACAACTTTCTTGAACTTGAACTTCCTTATCATAAGCATGCTGATGAAAAGAGTATTAACAAAAGAAAAAGAAAAGGTAAGAAAACTTAATAGATGAATTGGGTCTATGAAACTTAAAGACTTTGCATTGGATACAAATTAACAGTGGCCAGTATCAGCAAAATTGCAATTATGAAGGGAAGAAGTATACGCAAAAGCATGTTTATAAGAATAAAGATTTGGGGCCCGGCATGCTGGCCTAGTGGCTAATGTCCTCGCCTTGAATGCACTGGGATCCCATATGGGCACCAGTTCTAATCCCTGTAGCTCCAGTTCCCATCCAGCTCCCTGCCTGTGGCCTGGGAAAGCAGCTGAGGATGGCCCAATGCTTTGGGACCCTGCACCCGTGTGGGAGACCTGGAGGAGGTTCCTGGCTCCTGGCTCAGGATTGGCATAGCACTGGCCATTGCGGTCACTTGGGGAGTGAATCATCGGACGGAAGGTCTTCCTCTTTCTTCCTCTCTGTATATCTGACTTTGTAATAAAAATAAATAAATCTTAAAAAAAATAAGAATAAAGATTTGATAATTATTTTGAAGTGGGAGAGAAATCAATTGTAACTCTCAGGTTATGTCTTTAATAACTACACGGCAGTGATAAAATTGAAGCCAAGTGATGATAAAGACAGTTTTAGACATACTGAGTCAGAGAAACTAATGACCAGAAGAGCATATCTAGTTGATATAAGATGAAGATCAGTGTGTACTAGGGATTTTGACTGATACTTGATCAGTGTCAACATGCAAGCCATCCAAGAGGATGAGATAAGCCAGAAGCCAGGGAAAGCGGAGAATGAAGAGAAGAATTCCCTTTGAGATAAGTTCTACAGAACCAACTTGAAAAAAGTCTACAAATGTAACTGATGGATAAGAAAGGTAACAGCACTCCCAAATTTTGCAGAGGTCAGTAAAAAGAAATTTTGAACCCCTTTATCAAAAAACTCAATTAGCTACAAACGAGCAAACAAAAAACAATGCCAGTGGAAAACCAGGGACATAAGCTGGCATGAATGAGCTAAATAACTAGAGGCAAAGACACACAGCCTATAGTCCATACAGGCAAGAAGTTGGCTATAAAGCGAAGAACCGATAAGCTGACACCTAATTTTTCTTAAACCTAGAAATAACTTTAGCATGTCTGCATACTGAGCAATTTCTCTGGCACAGAATTGAAGACATAAGAAACAAACAAAACAAAAAAATACAACTACATAATATGGAGTTCTGGATAGGAGAAGTGCTACTCCCCTATTATTAATAGGACAAAAAGCCTAAAGAAACAGCATGAATGGAGATAAACCAAGTTTGAGTACAAAATTGCACAAGTTTACTCTTGTTAGGTTCCATCTTCTTTGTAAAATAAGAACATTTCTAAATACGAAAGACAAAGAGAAAACTAAGAAGAACTTCTTAAAGAAACCAAGAATTATCAAGTAATGTTTAGAGCCCAACTAAGATTACCAAACACTTGCTACAGTTGGGATGATATGTTTTACACTGAAGGTCTGAAAGCTCAATTACAAAAACAGATTAAGTGAGGGATGCCATGGTGACACAACAGCCTAATCCTCTGCCTCTAGCACCGCCATCCCAAGTGGCACCAGTTCTAGTCCTGGCTACTTCTCTTCCAAACCAGTTCCCTGCTTATGGCCTGGGAAAGCTGTGGAAGATGGCCCAAGTCTTCTGGCCCTGCTACTATGTGGGAGATGTGCAGGAGGCTCCTTGCTCTCATCACTGGATTGGCTCAGCTCTAGCCACTGCAGTCACTGGGGGAGTAAACCAGCAGGTGGAAGACCTTTCTGCCTCTACTCTCTGTAAATCTGCCTTTCAAATAGAAATGATAAATCTTTCAAAAAAAAGAGGTAACGTGGATAGTTAGATGAACCAGTTTTTAGGGGGCCAAACATACAACAGAAGGACAATGGACTATGGGAAGAAATTAATGAGTGTGGCTAAATCACCAAAGTTTAGATCCTCTACTAGACAGGTACCATAGCATGGGCCCTGCAGCATGCTTTGGTAAAGTGTGAGAAACAAGGCTAATGCAGCCAAAAGAAAAGAAAGTTGTCATAAAAAAGTACTGTAATTGGGAACTTTAACTTTGTCAACCTCAGTAGTTAATAAAAGATAAGGTTAAGATATAATAAAAAGCACTGATACTTTGGCAGTTACAGCATATTATCATAAAAACTAAAATTTTAAAACGAATTAGACATGTATTTAATCTAGGGATGTCCACTGACATCCTGAAGCAGGCAGTTGGTAAATTATATGTACACAGCTCTTCAGATGTATTAACACTGCTATAGAAATAGCCAACAAAGATTGGTTCTAACATTTGATACTTGGTGTTAAAACCTTCCTGAAACTAAATAATTGAAATTGCACAACAAATGAATACCTATCTCACAGCAGGCACCATTTATTGTGATCACATTAAAAATATTTATTAGCAAATAACCTTGTAATGAGTTACTGGTTTACCCAAATCTTTAGTATCACAGTTTTCTGGTTAAATTTCTACTATGGATTGAACTGTATTCAATCCTAACTTGTGAGTCTAATCCTCAGTGTAATGGTGTTTGAAGATGAGGTCACTGGGAGGTTAATTTAAGCTAGATGAAGTCATGAGGGCAGGCACTTCATCATGGGATTAGTAGCATTGTAAAAACAAGAAGAGAGGTTGTTTTCTCTTTTGTGTGGACACAGTGAGGTGACTGAGAGGAAGGGTGCCCTTACCAGTTTCAGACTTTAATCTCAGACATTCTAACCTCCAGAACCATGAGAAATAACATGTATGTTGTTCAAGTCACCCAATCTACGGGATTATGCTACAGCAGCCAAGCCAACTAACAACTTCTTTTTTTCACAATACATTTTTCCTTTAAGATTTTGAAAATGTACAGAAATAGTAGATACTGGCTTAAAATACTGGGTGAAAATCTGTGTACTCTAAAATGAATATATGATCTTAAATTTTTTTACTATGCAGAGGGATATTACTGATGCTTTAGATATAAATCTCATGATGCTGTGGAGACAGAATTGCCTTTCCAAGAAATGAGTACAGTGAGACTGTCTCAATAATCAATCTAGCTTATTACTACTAGGTAACGCACATGTAAGCAACAAATGCATTAAGACGTGGCCAACATCACACATCACGGTATTATAATAGTTAAGAATCTTACTGGTTGATGAAGATAACATAATAATTTACATATATTAAAATTCCAGGAAAAAATATACTCACGTGCCAAGCTCCACCAGGTGGACCTTTACCAAGAACTAAGTGAGGGATATAATGATGCTGTTCTAATTTCCAATGCAAAATAGATGGGTAATCATACCCAAAGTCAGCATCTGGATGAAGAAGTGTATCAAAAAGTACTGCAACTGGATTGGATGATCGGCCCTCAAGGCCTTCAGACAAGTATTCTAAGTCCTAAATGGAAAACAGAAAAAAAGGTAGAGTTCGGAAAAATTCAGAAGAGTTATCACAATCATAATCATCCAATTCAGCATATTCCAGATAGCATCCTAGGGTATCCAACAGATGTTCCTGGAGTAATCAAATGATATTTTGGAGAGGAGAGCGGCAAATACAGGAAAAGACTGGGCTTCAACAAAGGCAACCAGACCCTCACCTTGGAAAGCTTCAGAGGCCATTACATGCTGATGTTCTATCCTGTAGTTCTGGTGATTAAAAAAGAAAAAATAAAGTGCTTCCTTTTTTTAAAAAAAAGACTTATTTATTTTTATTGAAAGGCGGACATACAGAGAAGAGGAGAGACAGAGAGGAAGATCTTCCGTCTGATAGTTCTCACTCCTCAAGGGACCGCAATGGCTGGAGCTGAGCCAATCCGAAGCCAGGAGCCAGGTCTCCCATGCGGGTGCAGGGTCCAAAGGCTTTGGGCTGTCCTCGACTGCTTTCCCAGACCACAAGCAGGGAGCTGGATGGGAAGTGGGGCCGCGGGACTAGAACCAGCGAGCATATGGGATCCTGGCCGTGCAAGGCAAGGACTTTAACCTCTACACTATCGCGCCAGGCATGATTTAAGATTTATTTATTTTTATTGCAAAGTCAGATATACAGAGAGGAAGAGAGACAAAAAGGAAGATCTTCCATCTGATGATTCATTCCTCAAGTGATAGCAATGGCTGGTGCTGCACCCATCCGAAGCCAGGAGCCAGGAACTTCCTCCAGGTCTCCCACTTGTGTGAGGGTCCCAAAGCTTTGGGCCATCATTGACTGCTTTCCCAGGCCACAAGCAGGGAGCTGGATGGGAAATGGAGCTGCAGGGATTAGAACTGGTGTCCATATGGGATCCTGGGCATGTTCAAGGGGAGAACTTTAACCGTTAGGCCATGCCGCCAGGCCCAAAAAGGAAGCACTTTCAAAAACGAATGTAAGCATTTAGCACCTATTTTAAGATTGCATCAAAAATTACTTCAGAAATCCAGTTCTAATAAATTCAATAAAACAGAACCTAATATACTTATGAATTTAAAAGTGAAAGTTTTACTTAAAATATTTTCAACCAAGAAACAATGTTCATCTAAGTAAAAAATAAATGCATTGTAGCACAAAACATTCCTGCTGAAATTGACATGCAAGAGGCAATACCTGATCAACAATGGAAAGATGTCTTGCTTCTTCTAGCTTACTATGTAATATTGTATTGGGGTGCATTGCTTCTGATGATAAATATGGTCTGTAGCCTGATAACATATAAGAAAGGCATATTCCTGAAGGTCCATTTCCTGTTGAAAAAACACAAGGTGCAAGGGGAAATGTCATGCATCTTTATACTGTTTTCCCCCCCTACTTTGAAGGTAGTTCTTCCCCCTTGTTAATTCTTTCTTCTCTAACCTTTTAAAATCAGATGTTGGATAAGATTCTGATGTTTGTCTTCTCTATTATTTTCTTTTTGGGAGCCTCATCTACTTAAGCCTTCATCTCTCTGTGCTTCAGAAGTAAATTCTCTAAGTAAATTCTCGTTCCGGGAATACATCCCACTTTCCTGTATGTTGCGTCTTCCAGCCAACCTACTAATAATGTAAACACAGTGTGCTCCAAGGTGAACCCCGAGTCCCTTCGTTTAGATGCCCTCTCCTTTAAGCTGTATTCCACTGCAAGTCTAACGTGCAGCAAAATCTCACATTCATTCTGCCTCTAACATTATGCTGTCATCTATATCCAGTCAGTCATCTCTCACTTACATCCTCTCACCTGTAATACTATTATTTACTCACTGGCAAATCTTGTACATACTGCATTCAGATGAGCTTTGGTAACAGTCTGCCTGACATTTCCCTCTACTCTAAAAGCTTTAACTGCTTGTTTCTGGCTATCAAGACTCTCCATGTCCTGATCTCTATTCTTTCAATTCTAGTTCTTTATACAAACACTGCCTTCCTCTACATCCATACACTTTAAACCAAACTGAACTTCTGGTTGAACTCAGCTTTATTACTCTCAATTACGGAGGCTTTTTTTTTTTAAGTCTTGTTAGGTTAGGCAGAGCAGAAAGGACTCCACCACCCTGTGAAAGTCAAGCTGACCCTCCCTTCCAGAAAGGTCTGGAATGCCAAAACACCCTAACCTTGTCAGTTCCCACCATGAGCACCCAGTGCTAAGGGTCAGTCACATGTGCAAACCGAGGAGCTGCTGCCTTCTCCCATTCCCCATGTCTAAGATGTAGACATGGGGCATGAGCTCAGTGCTGTATATGCTGGGCAGCCATTTCCTTCACGCAGTCAGCCTGCATGTGGAAGTGGTCAGGGGCTGTCTCCTGCCCAGGAGCAGTCTGCCAGACTCTCCTCTGATGAATAAAAGCACCTGAAATAAAAATCTGTCTCTCTCTCTCTCTCTCTCTCAGTTGCCACTGAACCTAGCAAGTCTTGAATGCTACATGGGATGCCTTCATCCAATTTGGGAATGTCTTGTATTATTCCTTGCTGCTCTACTTCCAATCTATGCCAGCATATTCTGGATGGCAGTGATAGGGCTCAAGTACTTAAGGACCTGCCACCTACATGGAAAATTCACAATGAGGTTTAGTTCCTTGGCTCTGGTTAGCCTAGCCCTGGTTTTTGTGGGCTTCTGGAGAGTAAAGTGGCATGGAATCAATTAATCAATCTCTCATTCTCGCTTGCTCTCTTGCTCTTTCATATAAATGTAAATTTAAAGAAAAGCACATTTCACTTAAAAAAAATTTTAAACCCAGGCTAAGAAAATGAAGACAGTATTTATAAAGTACATATCTTATAAAGGACATGTATCTTAAGTACACAGAGAACTCTTCAAATACTGCAGGAAGAAAACAATCCAACTAAAACATTGAGCAACAGGGCTGATCACATTCCTAAACAAAGATAATGTAGAGATGGAAAACAATCATACGAAACATTAGACATGATATATTATGAAATTGCAAATTAAAACAAGATATCACTACATACCATAACAATGGTGAAAACCTAAAAAAGATACTACCCCAAGTGCTGACAAGAATGTGGAGCAACAGAAATTCTGATTCATTGCTAGAGGGAATGCAAAATTATACATTCATGTTGAAGCAGTTTAGCAACTTCTTAAAATCTAAATATAATCCTAGCATATGATACTGCAATAAGACTCCTCGGTTTTACCAAATGAGCTAAAAACTTATGTTTCACAGAGACCTTCACAGAATGTTTAGTGCAATTTCATTCATAATTGTCAAAATTGGAAGCAACCAAGATATCCTTCAAAGCGGTGGGTACTATGGATGGGTGTTTGGCGCAGTGTTTAAGTTCCTGCTTGGGACACCTGCATTCCTTATCAGAGTCTCTGGGTTTTGGTCTAGATCCACTTCCAATTCAGCTTCCTGAAAATGTGAATTCTGGGATGCAGCAGGTGAGGGCTCAAGAATGTGGGGGTAGACTGGGATGCTGGCTCAGCTACAACTCTAATAGGCATTTGAGGGATCAGTAAGCAGAGTGAAGATCTCCATCAGGATCCACCTCTCTCTCCCTTGCTGGCTCTCAATTAAATAATTAAAATGTAAAATAAAACAAAACAAAAACAGAACAGAGAACACAGCACATTCATACAATGGAGTATTATTCAGGGATAAAAGGAAATGAGCTTTTGTTGTGCCCAGATTTTGAGATCCCCAGAAATCACCAGGAGTTTGAATCGATCCAAGTGTACAAGGATGGTTTATTCAAGCTCAGTACATCCGAGCCTGGGTTCTTGGTTGACAGCAGACAGCTGGCTGACCAACATCCCTTATAGAGTGTGGCCCCAAACAGCACATTCATAGGGTTTTTATAGGGGCAGTCCACAACAGCTTGAAAAGGGGCAACTCGCAAGAGCCTGCAAGGTGAGGGGAAATACCACACTTTCCCTACCTATGTCAGCTGGACAGCCCATGCCTCCAGCAACTAAGGGAAGCACACATGTAATTACTTGGAGCCACCTGTAAGATAACCAGACTTAAGTGGGCCTTGATTCATAAGAACTGGGGCCCATCAATGCTAAAGGTCACATAGGCCATTTGGCCTGCAAGCTCAGTTTCTTAGCAGCAATGAGCCATGAACAAATGGTTGGGATTTTGATACTGAGGTTCTTCACTATAAAGGCCTGCTATTAAGAGTCCACCTGAAAAGGCCACACACTGTATCAATGAACAAGGAAAAGGCAAAATTAGCAAGACAGTAGGAAGAATCGTGATTGTGGCAAAGAATGTCAGCTAGGGAAGGTACGAGTAGGTAAAACAAAGTTTTGAGGCAATGAAAATTATTTGGTATGTTTCTGTAATGGCAGACACACAACGTTATACATTTATCAAAACCACAGAACTATATACCATGGAGAGAGAACTCCAATATGAGTGACATAATTCAGATAATAACAGCTACTGCTTGTATGTGGGCTGCATCACCTGGCTCTAAGATTTCATGTAATTTGGAGGCTTGGTCCCTAGTATTGTAGTTGAAATCAAAATGGAGTAAACATGGCTTGTTGCTAATGGCAATACTTTTCGCTTTTGTAACTTTTGTTTTACTTGCTTGGCTAACAAACTGTGTGAGCTTGCAGGCCTAGTGGCCAATGAGACCTTTAGTGCTAATAGCCCCAATCCCCATAAGTCAAGGCCCCAGCCTTATTAACTCATAGATAATTCAAGATCGGGGTCTGGTTGTCACAGGTGGCGCCAAGGTTGGAGGCCAGACCTGAGGAGAGCGGACAGGGAATGGCAAGCAGAGATATAAGCAACAATGTGTGAACCTTCCTCACTGACCTTTTGAGCTGTTGTAAATTGTACCTCCCTTGAAGCTGTGTCTAACTGCTACTATAAAAACTTTGTAACTGTACTGCTCAGGACAACACTCCACTAAGGGTTGTTGGTCCTGGCTGGCCAGTTGGTTTGTCAGTCGGTTGTCTTGCCTCTCATTTATAATAAAGCTTTGTTGTGACTGTCCCTGGTGAATGTAACATTCTGTTTTAGTGGTTGAGTGGATGCAACAGTATAGTACTATATTGAGAAACTATGCATCCTTTGAGCATTTTGGCCCATGCAAAATCCTTAGGTCACTGAAGGTGGGGGACATGCCCTTGGTAGGTCAGACTGGTAGTTCATATTTCTTGCAATAGGACTGTTGTAAAATGAGCAATCCTAATTCCTCCTGCTCTAGAACATTTCAGATAAGATCTCCTGCTTCAACACATGCTCCCAGCACTGTAATTTACCTTGATGTGATACAATAGAGTAAGAGGAGAGGGAGAATATGAATATGCCCTCACTGTAGAACTGTATCAGTGACAAGCCCTAGAGAATCCAAGACTGAGCTAAACAAAATTGTTGTAAGGAGCTTATGTCAAGTACTTCATTATGATGACAAAAAAAGCTGACTGAGGCAATAATGCACCAGTACTGACTCATCAACTCACACCAAGATGCCACACAAAGGCAAGGCACTAATTAACAGCAGGGAAATGGGGAATGAAGAAGAGAAGGAAACCAAGAGAATTTTCTGTTGGATTTTTTTGTAAATGTAAATTGTTCTAATAAGTAAAATCTTATTAAAATTAAAACTGACAAATAGAGAAAATTAGAATATGAGAAAAGACCTAAACTTCTCAGAATAAAATGATGGAACACTCAAAACACAATGAACAAAAATGGCAGTGCAAAGAGAAACTAAGGCGCTCTCGGCATCCAAGGGATCTCAGCAGTAATCCCTAAACCTGGGTAAGTAATTCTGTGCAGATGAGATTAGTATCTGGAGATGGGGAGTAGCATCCTGGATGAGGAAGACGAGGCCCCGAAGAACAGAGAACCTCTAGACTCTCAACTGCAGAGAGAGGGAGATGCTGACTACGGAGGATACTTACAAAGTAAATAATACTGTTGGTTCTGAGCTGCCTAACAACCAGGGTACAAGAAATGTGAATGACTTTCAAATGTTAGAAACAGCAAGGAACAGATTCTTTCCATAGCCTCCTGACCAGTAACAAAATTATGCCTGCAGACACCATGATTTTAAATCTGTGCTGATTGACCTACAGAAAAACAACAGAGGGCCAACGAGTTTGTTACACATGCCAAATACATGTGTTAGGGCATCAGTTCTTTATGCCCAGGTGGATGGTGCTATGCCAACAGTAAATGCCCTATATATACTACAATGAGCTACTCAGATTGGGTAAGCAGAGACAAAACAGGGATAGACTTTTTCAGGCAACAGAATGGCAGGCAAAAACAAGTAACAGTAGTTTCTATTCCTCCTACAACCTAGCCAGACAAGAAAGTGTAGTGTCTCCACACATTTTAAAACATTCAAGATGGCCAACCGGCATTGAATGTAAGAGGCAAAATGAAACATGATGTACAGTCACTGAGATCTATCTCAGATGCTGAAAGATTTTTCTACTACAGAACTGTCACCTCTATCAAACTCTCCAGAAGAAATCTGGTATATAATAATATTTAATATTTTTGTTAAATTTTTATTTTGGATTTTTTGAATTTTATGGTACAATTTTGTAGAGACTGGGATTCCTCCCCCATATCCTACCCTTCCGGCAGATTTTCCCTATGTTGCTACAATAGTATAGTCCTTCATAAGGAGTCATGATTCCATCAGTCTGTTATTTAAGTGTGCCCTAACATTGCTGGTACAGACAATGTCAGACAGTTCAGCATCCCACTGTCTACACATTTCCAACAGTTTCACTGGGAGTCCATCTTTGATTTGAAAGTAGGGATGCACATTGCATTGTATCCCCACATCTGGATATAGTAGTCTCTATTACTCCATCACTATACATTCCCATAAATGAGAAGTCACTGAGATAAGATCAACAACCAGTATGAATTAGAACAACAGCAACAAAATTACAGCGCCATGGAATCGAAAAAACGTGCCATTGAATAACCATGCACAGGTGACAAAAAGAAAACACAAAAGTCTCTTGGGTGAAACGATGTCACGGTGTAATCTATGAGTCAGCAATGAATTCAACAAGAGAAAATAAAGTATTTGGAAGAAATGAAAATGAAATCATAAACATCAAAACACTTGGGATGCACGCCCCAAAAAAGTTGAGTCAATTTTCTATGAATTAGTATTCATATAAAACAGTGCTGTCCTTCTCCCTCTCTCCCATATGCCGGAGAACACAGCTTTAACACTCTTCCTACTAACTACATAACCAACTATCAGACACAGGAACTGAGACACCACTATGGCACTTAATGTCCCATGATTTTCTCCTTTGGTTTGTTTTCCCACTTTAGTATTTTCTGACTTGAGTTTGAATATATAAATATAAAATACATGACAAATATTTCAATGCCAGCAATTATAAATTATAATTTGAATATACTAATTATATTAACACCATGATTTTTAATGTTTTATGCCGATTACAAATATATTTTATCCCTATCTTTTGAGGTGACACAAAGGATAAATTATATTATTATTATGGTTAATTACAAATATACTGTAGAGCATTATAATGCTAATTGAGTTCTTACTGGTCACTATTTTGTACATTTCACTCAACTTCTGAGTTCATTTCCCTGTATCTACCTCCAAGTATCAGAGAATGTAAAGTGCAGTGCAGTAATACACACAGAATGCTCAAACATTGGTTATCATCATTACCAGAACACTGGCCACACGGTTAACACAGCTGACAGGCAGTATTCTGAACAATACAGTATCAGTCCTTTAATAGGAAGGCATTGCATTCTAACAGACTCTAACATTAGACAGAACAAATGATCTTTCCAAAGATTTGGTTATTGGCTATTTTAATGTATCACTCAAGAATGCTTTTTACTACTTTATAAGTACAATTCTAGAAATGTACAGAGGATCAAAAGTAATTTTAAGAGAGAAAATGCAATAACTTACCTATTATTACCACAGGCAAAGTCACTGATGAGTCTCCGAGCAATGTTTCTTCAACTAATGGCATCGCTTTAACTTTCTGCCCCAAATTATCTCCAAAATATTGTACTAGGGAACTGAAAATCTCTCCTTCTGTTTCACTGTCGCTATAGTTTCTTGAGGGAAAAAAAAGGAACAACAACAACAAAAACAAGGGATATGTCAATAGTGCCTTTATAAAAATTGGTCTTTACTCAGTTGCTAGTTAGCCCACAGAGAAGAATTTATGATTAATGCTTTCAAATCAGTACTTCAGGTTTTTATCAACCTATACCACTTTCAAGGACAAAAATTTTATATAGCTGCTTATCTCATTAGTATCTAACAGGCAAGTTCCTACTAAATAGTAAGCTGTTTTTATGACCCAAGTTAAAGCAGTGCAGTAGGGATTTCATAATTCTCTGAGATTTCTCCGGAATGGCTCGTTTCCTCTCTCCATTTTTATTGACTAAAAAATGAGTACATTAAATACGATGCATGATCACAAAGCTTAAGGAAAAGTTGAGGCACCTACAGATCATACATTGTGCACTCTGGTATTAGCATGAGGTTCATACATTTTTATTCTCAGAAAATGTATTAAAGTAAGGAGAGATCATAATGTTGATTTCCAATCTCTTTGCCACTGCTTCTCCAAAAACTTAATTTTAGCAAACCTTACATGCACACAAAATAAAGCATTATTCCAGAAATCGTTCCTGTAGGAAAGGGTTACAAAACAAAGAACAGACGGGAAGCGCATTCACAGCAAAACTGAATTTACTTATCACAGAGAGAAATTCATGGGTGCCCAGCCACCAAAATGAGGACAGAAGCAGCAGGTGCCCAGCTTTGCAGCGGCCTGCGTCTTTTATTTTCACAGCACCAAATACATCTGATTACATTTACAAATGCAAAGGTTGTAGTTATATCTTCACAGACAGCAACAGAAAATACAGGTTGCAAATGTTTTGAAATAAAATGTGATTACTGTGGGGAGGAAGGATAAATAAGAGGTATACTGATTATTTTGGAGCAATAATAAAGTCACCAAAAGATATATGGAAATTTTTAATCTTGTGGCAAGTAATTCAACTCAAAGTCCTAAGTTTCACTTTTCTAGTAATTATTTTACAAAATGTTAACTACACTGAACTGGGTGAAAAGCTAGATCCCTTCTTATCAATGGTTTGAAAGCACTCTTATAACAACTGTCTATAATCATCATCCCAAACTATACTATTTGGAGTACACAGATGTTCATTATTTTAATAAATTCACTTCTAAAGTAAGGCCTTTCTAATTATACCCACACTTCATTTATCAGCGTGTGAACACATTTATCTCACTAGCTCAATTTACTATTTTCTCATCTGTATTTGCTTATTTTATCAGTCTGGATTCTGCGAGGCATTTGGTTTGCAAAGTGTAATCTCTCTTAGTTAATAGTAAATGTTAATCACATCTATAAAATCTCTATACAACAATATTAATGACTGTGTTTCGCTAAACAGTAGCACAGCAGCCCATCCAAGCTGACAACTGGTATGCACTGTAATAGGCTCTGTAACAATACTGATTCCATAAGATCTCCTTAAAAACCAAATCCTGGCTGCTCAACCCAATTAATAGTATTACTGTTTGAAAGGTTGCAATTCTTTTCCAATATATGGTAAGCTTTAGCAAAACTTATTTAAGAATGTGAGAGGTTACCTACCAAAGTCCAGGGCTTTCACTGAGGTCAGTATGCGGGGATACACTGAGCTGAGATATCCTGGACTGGCCTGTATCCCAGTCTGATGGTTGGTAGGCATGGCCTAATTTAACAGGCAGCATGTTTTGTAGATCTCAAGCCAATTTCACTTGGTGAAAAAGGGATCTGCCAGATTTACAATGCAGCCAGATAGGGAAAGAATTTTACAGCAGCTCTGAGCTGCTACAAAAACACTGCTAGTTGAGGTATAAAAGTAGGAAGTCAGAATCCCTGATTTCTCATGATATTCAGCAATTGTCATAATATCTAGAAGTGTTAAATATATCTACTAGTGGGTGTGTCTATAATTATTCTTGATACATTTCTGATAGATCATTTTTAAGGATTTATTTTTATTTATTTATTCTTTATTGGAAGGGCAGATATACAGAGAGGAGATACACAGAGAAAGATCGTATGTCTGCTGGTTAACTCCCCAAGTAGCCTCAATGGCCAGAGCTGAGCTAATCTAAAGCCAGGAGCTTCTTCTGGGTCTCCCATGCAGGTGCAGTTTTCCAAGCCTTTGGGCCATCATCCTCCACTGCTTTTCCAGGCCACAAGTAGGGAGCTGGAAGGGAAGGAGAGCAGCTGGGACCTGAACCGGCACCCATACAGGACCCTGGAGCTTACAAGGTGAGGATTTAGCAACTAGGCTATTGCACAGGGCCCTAAACCTGTTATTTCAAGCTAACTCGCTGATCTCTGAAGTGGTAAGTGGAAATAATTGGTCAGTTACTTCAACTTCCATATAACATTCAGAGTTCCATTTACCCTTGGACAGGCAGAGTTCTGAAGAATACAGGCACATTTCCCAAACCGATGAAATCCACCTCCACCCACAGGTATCTAAACTCCTTGGAGGTGGATCCTTTGCTGCTCAGCCCTGGGGAAGAACCAGCCTCACCACCCTTTTTAGGTTAGTTCCAGCTACTGCCTCTGGACAGACACAGGTGCAGCTGCTGTCTGTTTCTTAGCAGCCACACTGGTCAGCCCTGACATTTTTCCAGAGGGTGTGCCCAGGACAGGTTTCTCCGCATGCTCACATATTTGAAAGACACAGAGTGCCTTGGTTCAGTCCAAAAGGCCCCAGGGGTCACAGCTGGACCAGATTGATGCCAGGGGGCTTCTTCCAAGTCTCCCACTTGTGCGCAGGGGCCCAAAGACTTGGGTCATCACCTACTACTTTGTCTAATGCACCATCAGGGAACTGGGTCATAGTGCAACAGCCAGGACAGAAACTGAATTGGTGCCCATTTGGGATGCTGGTGCTGTTAAGCAGTGGCTTTACTTGCTAAGGCACAATGCTGGTTCCCATGTGTCACTCTAAGACACAAGTATTCTGAGAAATAAGTCAGGCAATTTCCTCTTGTGCAAACATCACAGTATACCTACACAAAGCCAGATGACTCTGTCACTGGGCAGTATACTTAAGGGACTACTGTCGCACACGCAGTCCCCATCATTGACCAAATGCCAACATGCAGTGGATACCTGCACTTACGCTTCTTTTAACTTCCCTAAACATGTTTTGTAACTTTAAACATACCTGTTCTAAACTTCAAGTATACTTGTAAACATTTCATTATTTTTCAGATTGTTCATCTCTGGAAATACAGAATTACAATTAATTTTTACATGTTGATCTTTCATCGTTCAATACTGGTAAATTTGTTGGGTCCAGTGATTGTGTGTAAGAGAAAGTGAGAAAGTGTCTCTGTGTTAGACGCTTTGACTCTTGTATAACCCAGGATTCAGGTACAGTACAATTTTTAGACTGTTTAAGTACTCTACCCAATAGCTTATCTAGCTTTGCACAATATTAAGTAAATTGCTTATACTTTAAAAAGTCATAAGTGTAATCTGTGTGGTAAATTATCTGCTGTAAATCTGTATGCTATCTAATAAACTGAAAGTTGTTTCTGACAGATGTGAAAAACCCTAAATCAACAGAAGGGAACAAACAAAAAGTATGAATCAACAATGAAACCACAGCATTCAGTTAACACTAGTCCAAAAATTCAGAACCTAATTAATTTGTGACTGTTAAAAATGTTTTAAAGTAAATTATGCCACACTATGGGACAGCGGTAGCTCTGATTTTAGATTTGCAGTCTGAAGACAATTTATTTTGAGAAATGAAAACTTAACTTTTCCTTTATTGGAGAAACAAACCACAAATCATGCATAACTACACATAAGAAAGAGTAGGGGACTTCAAAAATGTCATGGACAATAGAGTTAAAAGGTAAGTTCATCTTGGTGCAAAAGATGTTGAAATTCATGCACTTCTTTTCCTAAAAAGATTTATTTATTTTCATTGGAAAGTCAGATTTACAGAGAAGCTTTATTCTCCAACTGGCCACAATAGCCAGGGCTGGGCTGATTCAAAGCCAGGAGCCAGGAGCTCCTTCCGGGTCTCCCATGCCAGTGCAGGGTCCCAGGGCTTTCCTCGACTGCCTTCCCAGGCCACAAGCAGGGAGCTAGATGGGAAGTGGAGCTGCTGGGATTAAAACCAGCGCCCATGCGGGATCCCAGTTGATGCAAAGCAAGGACTTTAGCCACTAGGCTATCATGCCGGGCCCTGCACTTTTCTTGTAAATGAATTATTACTTTTTAAAGAATTACTGCAGTAAAACCTGTACTTTATACACATGCAAAAACAGTTACCCTTCTGTCAGACATCAAGTTAAAAGCCTATGTGACACCTATTCTACTTTACTGTTTCTGGAACATTACTGTTTGCTATTTCAAAGCAAGATCAAAAAGACGACACGGGCCTTTTTGGGTAACACTTCTTCCACACCACAGCCCTAGTTCTCTACAGGAAATGCTTCCCTCCCTAACCTGTCAAGTCTTCGGAATCATTGCCGAACTGATACTACCCACTGTAAGGCAGGGTTCTAGAGTCACCAGTGCAGCTGGTGGTACTTTTCATCGTTCAGAACAGTAAGTACGGACAGTCAGAGGCCAGTTTCCTCACAATATCTCACTCTTCAGTTACTGAACAACTTCCAAAATGGAGAGGTTACAACTTGTTTTAAAATCTGTGTTTCTGGGGCTATTGGGGCAGTGTAGCAAGCTAATCCTCAGTCCACAGTGCCAGCATCCTATGTGGGCACTGTCTCATGTCCCAGCTACTCCACTTCCCATCCAGCTCCCTGCTTGTAGCCTGGGAGAGCAGTGGAGGACGGCCCAAGTGTGTGGGCCCTGCACCCGCATAGGAGACTCAGACGAAGCTACAGGCTGCTGGCTTTGGACAGGTTCAGCTCTGGTCACTGAAGTCATTTGGGGGAGTGAACCAGCCAACTTTAGAGCTCTCCTCTAACCCCTTCAAATACAAAATAAATTTTCAAAACAAAAAAAGTGTGTTTTGAATGCAACTATTCAAGGCACAACATTAGTAAATTAGAAACATATTCCAAAAGCAGCTAGCAAGTTCTTTAATTTTTAGACAAAACTGTTTTTACAATGAAAATGGCCTGGGGTTGGCCATCTCCACCTTCAGGGCCTGCATTCCATATGGGCATTGGTTTTAGTCTTAGTTATTCCACCTCCAATCCAGTTCCCTGCTTATGGCCTAGAAAAGTACCACAGGATGGCTCAAGGACTTGGGCCCCTACATCCACGTGGGGGACACAGATGAGGCTCCTGCCTTCTGGCTTCGCATCAGCTCAGCTTCAGCCACTGTCTCCATTTGGGGAGTGAATCAGCAGGCAGAAGATCTCTCTCTTTTCTCTCCTTCTCTTTGTAACTTTGCCTCTCAAATAAAAATAAGTCTTATAAAAAATAAAAGGGAAAAAAAAAAAAAAAGAAAATGTAACAGGCTTCTTTTCTGTCCCTCCAGACAAAGTAGAAGGAGCTGGCAACGTGATGGCTCAACTAGCTGATTCGTAGCCTTGTGTCACCAGCATCCCATATGGGCACTGGTTTGTGTCCCAGCTGCTCCACTTCTGACCCAGCTCTTTGCTTTTGGCCTGGGAAGGCAATGGAGGAGGCCTGGAGCCATAGGGCCCTGCACCCATGTGGGAGATCGGGAGGAAGCTCCTGGCTCCTGATCGGCTCAGCTCCGGCCTTCGTAGCTGTTCGGGGAGTCGATGGAGGATCTTTTTCTGTCTTTCTCTCTGTAAAATCGCCCTTTCCAATAAAAATAAATACAATCTGAAAAGCATTTGGACAGCATTTTCTGAAACCCATGTTAATGTCTCGGGCCTTTTGGCTCAACAGCTTTTCACCAGAAAAGTTTGCTTCCCAAAACTCTCCAACGTCAATGTGATCATTCTCAAACCACCACAAAGCAGTCAACGAAAAAACAAAACAATGAAACTCGGTGCACGTTATAATCCAGAAGCCTAGCACAGGAAAACAATTTCTGGAGTAACATGTATGATCAGGAGACTCATCTAAAGTCAAGAGGGTCGACCAGCAGAACAGGAGGCAGGGGCCTTACCCTCCTTACACAGGTGGATCAAGTGCTCCAGTCTCCTCCGGATTTACAAGGAAGCCTACCTACTCATAAAAGGAAAAACTCGCTGCTTTTGCTAGTATGTACTTCACTACTGCAGTAAATAAGGTCGGTGATGTGTACTAACAGTTATTTTAAAAAGATATACAGTATTTCCAGATAATTCCCACCATAATGTGATACGAAAACATTTGTGGTTTTCACTGATAACAGATGTAACTGAAGGAAATGCTGAGTTTAAAAGTTCAGCGAAAACAATTCTTTTCATGCAAATTCAGGCACTACCTAAATTCTGTCTTTGCACCGCCATGCTAAACTTGTTAATCAGGTTTTTCGTAAGAACTAAGTTTCACACAGCACCATTCTAGAAATTCCCTATGACAGCAAGCCATTAACAGTCTCCACTAAGCTTAGAATTTGAACCCCCTTCCCCAATAGGTATTAAAAAAAATTCATTTCTACTGTCCTTTTGGTCTTTCTCCCTGTTAATGGAAATGCTCACTCTAGAACACATGTTCACTTTTAAGACTAGATATTTTGTATCACCCCTGAAAGCTTCACTGGTGAGTGCAAAATTGTCATTTTTCAAATTTCTGCAACACATTCACATACCATCTTAAGTCAGAACCTATATATAACTAGATCGTTAACACTAGTGCCCTCCCTTCCTTCCACGCAGCTATAAATGTAATAAAAATAAGGGAGAGCCCTTCATGGAACCCTTGCTTTTAAAACTTTGTACTAATTGGCCGTCCCAGCCCGCCGTAACCGACTCGCCCCGGGCCTAGCTGGTCCCGTGACCCGCGCAGACCAGGGAGAGAGGAAAGGGGGACACTGGAGTAGGGTTCCCTGAAGCCAGGAGCCCCACAGCCGGGGAGGCCGAGGCGCACAACCCGGCGGGACGGGCCCCCTGCACGCTCCCCCTCCCGTCCCCGGCGGGGAAGTCACCTGAGATGACCGGCCAGGGAGCAGCGGCAGCACCACACCGGCATGGAGCGATGCGCGAGGGGCGCCCGGCGCAGCCGCCAGGGCCGCCGCCTTGCCGGCGGGGCCGCCTTCCCCGGCGGGGCCGCCTCGCTCTCCCGCGCTCCCCGGGTCTCGGCCCGGAGCTCCGGCCGCCGCGCCTCACCGTGCCCGCGGACGCCCCCCGGCCCGGGCGCGCCCGAGTCCGGCCCCCGGAGCGCGGCTTCCGCTCGTCGGCCGCGGGGAGCCCGGCGCTGGCGGCGGGTGATGTCGGAGGCGGGGCGGGGACGGCGACGGCGACGGCCCGGGCGCGCGGGCTCCTCCTCGCAGGTGCGGCGGCGGCTGACGAGGCCTGCGATTGGTGGCGCGGCGGCCGCGGCGAGGGGCCGGGCCCGATGGAGAGGAGGCTCCGGCGGCGTCGCGTGGACCACTGCGGGGGCCGGGCGGGACCCGTCGGGGCTGGCGAGGCGGGCGGATGCACGCAGGACGAGCGGGGAGCTGCGTCCGGTGCGGCCTTGGCGACCTCGCCGAGGATCCCGGGAAAGGCCGGGCTTCCCGCCCTCCTCCCCAGAACCCACCTCTGCGCGTTTCCTCGCGCCGGGCTGGGTGCAGATGCCTGCAGCTTCCGGGCACCGCGCGTCCCTGACCCCGTGTCTCAGTCACCCGGGAGAACTCAGCAAACAGCAGGTGCCTCGCCCCACCCCCAGGGGTTCCGTTCTGGGCAGCGCTGATGGTAGGGTGCCCATTTCCCGTCCTTACCCAACGCGGCTATCGCTGGTCCGGGAGTGTGAAGATTATCTGCATCTCTGGCCCGTTGTAAGCAGGCCGGCTCTATGCCCTGCGGGGCGGTTTGTAGGAGAGCGGGAGAGCAAGAACACGATTTTTTCCTGTCCCTCCAAAGGCTTGTGATGCAATTGGAGTTAGCACGGAGTCAGAATGTACCGGCTTGATTATTGTCAGAAATGAAACGCCTGGTGGGGACTGGGTATACTGTTCCACAGGGGGTGTCTTTCCGCATTCCCAAACAAGCCCTAATTATTTTTTGCAACTGAAAGATAAGTTTATGCTTTTAAACAGTTTTTTTAAGTTCACAAAAACTTGCAGTTAGCAAGTATCTTAGAGTCCGCTGAACTTGAAGCAAAATATTCACGTTTCTCCTTGACTGTGCAACCTAAATGTATTTTCCATTTTTTTATAAATCCTGTCTTTCAACTATGAAGGGTTGAACTCATTCTTTTTTAATATTGGTTCTGCAAATGTAGCATGACATTGCTTCTCCATTGATACTAACTTTTAAAAACCCCAATTCCTCAAAGTTACTCCATTTCAACCCAGAAAGCTTAAATGAATATAAATAAGTGAAACAGAAACTCTAAATATGTAAGAGAATGTTTATACATAAGTAACTGCTTTCTACACATTTTTCCTTTTAAGGCTGTTTGCACTTTCAGTTTTCGTAAAAAAGTTTCCAAGTCAAATAATGAAGCGGACTTACCAAATTTTACAATTGGTGATTTGTCATTTCTAGCTAATGTTATGACATTGTTTTTGTGGTTCACAGTGCATATCAGCATTTATTAATTTATTTATTTGAAAAGCAGAGTGATGGAGAGAGAGAAAGAATCTCACATCCATTCATTCACTCCCCGAATGCCTGCAACCCCTGAGCCAGGCCAAGCTGAAGCCAGGAGCCAGGCGCTGCACTGGAGTGGTGCAGATCCAAACACTTGTGTTGCTTCCTGCCTGCCAGGCTTGTTAGCAGGAAGCTGGATGGGATGTGCAGGGGAGGTTTTAATGCTAGGCACTCAGATATGAAACATGTGCAGCCCAAGTCATGGGAACCAGCATGGCAGCAAAACCTATCCCAGTGGCTTAGAACTAAACCAGGCACAGTGACTACAAACGGGCCTATCAGAGTTTTCATGTTTTTATTTTGAAGTAAAGTCTTATTTAAATATAAAATCTGGAGTTTGTGTGAGATTATGGAGACAGACTGATGTTGTTGGTGAATATGAAGACTGGTGTATAATGCACAATTCCCTGGCCTGTAGGACAGGCACGCAGTCCTGTCAGCACCCACAAGACTGTGTTTAGGGATTTTCCTCACACTTCATAGTGACTTCTGGGTTTTCAGTCTCATCTGCTTCTGGTTTCCCTACCTAACAACCCTTCCTGGTATATATGTGTGAAGTTATGGTGTAGCTAAGAGGACTGTGTGTGTTCACACTTCCATTATGCTAGTTGTATGATTATGGAAAATAACTCTGAACATGAGTTCTTCACACAGCAAGCATAATAGGGGCCAGCACAGTGGTGTGGAGGGTTAGGCTGCTGCCTGTAATGCTGCTATTTCCTATGGGTGCTGATTGAAGGTCTGCCAATTCCAGTTCAGGACAACTGACTATTAATGGCCTGGGAAAGCAGCAGCAGATGGTGAAGTTCTTGGGTCAGGGTGTGCATGTGGGAGACCCAGAGGAAGTTCCTGGCTTCAGCTAGCCCAGTCCTGTTGCTACAGCTGTTTGCAGAGCGAATGTGTGTACCGGCTTGGTGATTGTCCGGAGTGACATGCCTGGTGGGGACTGTGTATATTGTTTCACAGATCTTCTATGTGTCTGTATCTCTGTAATTCTGTTCTTCAGATAATAAATAAGTCATCTTTAAAAAGCAACCAAGTTTTTAAAAACATAGTAGAAATTCATTGGTTGTGAGGTTTATATTTGAAAAAACTTAGAAATCACTACAGTGTATGGCCTCTATGAGTTGCTAAAAAAAATTTCTTTATTAGCATCAATAATAGTACTATATATTTCTTGAAGTAGAATTCTATAAAATGTGTGCTGTGGGCTGAATTTTATCCCCCCTTGTGTTGGGGGATAGGTTCTGTAAGGATTCAGTTGAGGTCACAGATGGCTGTAGGAGATGCCTAATGGTCCCAGTGTAATAAGGCTAGTGTCCCTTAGAGGAGGAGGTGACAGTGGAGTTCATTCCTCTTTATGAGGACACAGTAGGAAAAGCTGGGATGAGAATGCTCACTAGGGACCAAAATAAACTGTTACATTAATTTTGGAATTTCCAGGAATAAATTTATTTTGCTTAAAATACCCAGGTTGTGATATTTTTGTTATAGCAACCTGAATTAAGAGAACATGTTTTTTGCATTTTTGAGAAGCAAACAAATATTGATGTAAACTGCTCAGACTAAATTTACATTTCATAAACTATGCAAATCTATGAATGCACTGCATCAGAAAAGACAGTCATCTGGTGATACCTCAGAGCATTATAGAAAATACTCTAGGTGCTGGCATTGTGAGTAGCAGGTAAAAGCTGTCATTCACAAAGCCAGCTTCCTGTAGCGGCACTAGTACAAAGCCCAGCTGCTCCACTGCTGTTCTAGCTCCCTGCAAATGGCTTGGGAAGACAAAGGAGGATGGCAACAGTGCTGGTTTCCCCGCACGCAGATGAGAGACCAAGAGGAAGCTCGTGGCTTCTGCCTCAGCCTGCCTCAGCCCTGCCCAGTGACATGATCTGGGGAATGACCCAGTAGATAGAAGATCATTCTTTGTCCACTCTAGGGAGTGAAACAGTGGATGGAAGATCATTCTCTATTTGACTTTCTGCCTCTCTGTGTGTCTCTCAAACTCTACCTTTCAGACTAATCAAATTAATCTTTTTTTTTTTTCAAAAAAGAAAATACTGTAGAATTTTAAAAAATTAATTTGAAGCATTGGGAAGCTCAGGTGCCTTTCAGATGTGTTATTCTCAGCCCACTGGTACTTTTGCTACAGTGAAGGCCTTTGTTTCTGTGTCAGCCTGGAATTCCCATCACTCCAGTTCTGTGTCTAGATGGTAAAGAGTTGGGATGCCTGCCTGAATACTTGCAAGATTGGAAACAGTAGTTGTACTGGTGACTTAAAATGAGATTTGTTTTTCTGTAACCCAGGAGAGAGAATATCAAGCAGGCATTTTACTAAAAAAAAATATGATTTATTCTTTTGGTTTATGGAAGATTGAGTTGTAAAGGATAGCTAACTGAAGGCTAAAAAAATTCTTACAGAATATTACATGTTTTGTAGAATCATCGATTATTTTTGCATTACTACTAGACAAGAGGGAAAAAGATAGTGACAGAGGCAGAAAATATGGCTAGTGATAGGTCAGGAATCCATCTAGGTTTTTAAACTCAGAATAGAAATTCCAGAAAGTAAAAAAAAAAGAGGAGGTGCTTGAATGAAATGTATTTAGTAAGCAGAGAAATTTTATAACTGAAGGGAGATGTGAGAACCGAGCAGGAAAAAGGAAAAGATGTGTATGTGGATGTATCATGCAATTGAGGATAGCAAGGATACTCTGAGGCTTCCAGAGTGCAAATTCAAGTTCTCCATGAATACAGGCAAATTAGGCTGGCCACAGTATTTTATCAAGAGGACAGAATTTGAGGAGACAGCCATGCCTCTGAACTTAGAATTCTGTCAAAACCTATTGATGAAATATGCAGGGCAGGATGGAAAAGAACATTAAACATAAAGTGACAGTTTTACTTCCCAAATATTCTTTTTTAGGATGTTACCTGAGGTTGTAGACTGGAAGAACAAGGAAATTTTCCAAGACATTGGAGCAGATTGAATCTAGTGGTAGACCTGACAGAAAAGCTGTGAAGGTAAGTTACGCAATGACAGATGTGCAACAAGTGCAAAAGGGAACTGCCTAAAGAGGAAGAGGCTCTAGGTCCCATATGGTTGTGGGTGAGGAAATATTGAAGAAATACTGATTAGGAAAAGAAAGGCAACTTGGAATCCAATAGGGTGGAGGAAAAATAAAACTTACCTGAGCAGTACATAGTGTTTTCATTGATCTCAGATAAGCATTTCTAATTTTCAGATTTGCAGTCTGCTTATAGACAAAGTAGGAATCCTTTATGATTAACTCCCTTTTTATAAGTTAAAAATTTAAAGAGAATTTTCATGCGTACAGATGCATTATAATATTAAGCATGATAATGTATAAGAGATTTGATGAGAAGGATAAATTATATGGAATTTTTACCTGATGAAACAAAGAGGTGCAAAGTGTGTTATATCAAAC